ATATATATATATATATATATATATATATATATATATATATATATATATATATATATATATTGTTGTATTTGTGCTGATAAATAAATAAAGGGAGACTAGTATAGATCTATTTCAAGCTATTCAAGCTATCTATTTATATATATAAACCCCAAGCAACCACAATAAAACATAAAATAATAAAAATCACTAATAAAACTGCCAATGTCCCAAAACCAAACACTTCTTCATACTTCAACTCCAGCATCATCCTACCCCAACACTTCCCAATGTCAAAGTTTCCATAACAGGAAGACCTGAGCTCAGAATCTAGTAGGGGAATCTGATGTTGTAGAAAATCTGGAAAATCTGTGGAAAGTTCTCCACAGTCTTTTAAATTCTTGGAGTGAAAGTTTTCCATTAGCATTTATCTGTATTTGTAATCAAATCCCTTTGTTGAAAATCTGATGTGTTATGAAACTTGGAACTATAATTCTGCTTCTTTTTATAAGAAAGCAGTAGGGGTGGGAGTATTTGAAGTGTAATCCACAATCAAGACAAACAAGTATTGCTTTTAAATGGTTTTACTCAGATAGATAGCCTTGAGGTACAGTATTAACCAGATTGTTCTAAGAAACCTAGAATATTTGCTAAATTGAGAACAGGAAAATAATTTTATTTGGGGTTATACTTTCCACTGTTTCAGAAAACGAAACAGACTTTGCTACATACATATTAGTATTTTTTTCAGGCAAATAGAAACTTTTCTTCAGTTCATTAACTATACTGTTTGCTGCTTGCCTTTAAGGACTGCACAGCATGGAGTTTACCATTCAGGATTATACTATATTGCCTTGATTATTACAATACCCTCCTTTTATTTCTATTGATGCAGTATGTTGGTGATAAGAATCATAGTATTCTTAGAGAGCTAACAATTTCCTCCTCTCTTCTTCCTTGTCACCTTCCTTCTCTTCATCCTCTCTGGCATTTGCCTCTTCCTTTTTTACTTCCTCACATGGGAAACCAATACTGTAACTTGCACTGCCATCTAGACTTGTAAATGTTCATCTTAAAAGTACATTAGTGGATAGTAGCATCTTCTGTACAATATGATGGATTCCATATATAAGTACATCCATCAAACAATTCAGTTACAACTCAGAAACTGAGGAAGTGAAGGGTTTTTTTTTTAAAAAATCCTTCATTATTCGGCAGATGGCAGTATTAAGACAAAGAATTTTGAAGTTGTGTTCCATGGGAATGAGTGAAAATGAAACCAAAATTGAAATCAATGATTTTCCATTAAAAAAAATTGGCACAGAGGAAAAAGCTACACTGTTGATTTCTACTTTATTTTTTAAAATGTATCAGACTTCAAAAATAACTTTTAATACATTTTCAAGGAACATCAATTTATCAACTACCTGTTTCATGCACAATTCTTCGCAAATTTGAAACAGTTAGGAATCCAGAATTATTTTCATCCTCTCTTCCAAATATATCCTGAAAAATATTTATATTTAAGATAATATATTAAAACAGGGAAAAATATATTTGTAGTTACTATGGAAGATCACACTTTTCTAATGGCACAAAGGCTGGGAACTGAAATATACGTAGTTTAATAATATAATATTATTAACAGTTTAACAAATAATAGGACAAAAAGATAGTCACGGCAACAGTTAAGAAACTAAGTGAATAAATTCCATACATACCCCATATTTCTTGAAAGTTCTCCACAGTCTTTTAAATTCTTGGAGTGAAAGTTTTCCATTAGCATTTATCTGTATTTGTAATCAAGTTTTAAATCAGGTGTGATATAAATGAAGCCATACAGTAGATATAAATGAGGAATAGATATAAACTGCAGCTCACCTTGGAGAAGCATCAGAATCTGGATTTTTGCCTTAATGACTACTATATTGTGACACAATTCTTTCTAAACTGAAAATAACTTTCTAAACTGAGAATAACTACAAGTTTTAATGCCTCTCTAATCAAAGCAAAGTAAAACACCTCAAAGCTAATGCCTCTCCAGGTGCAGAGCAAAAACTTGATGGGAATCTGTATGAGATATCTGGTTTCCATCCAGCAGGTAATACTTCTCTATGTGTGTTTTTAAATAGGAGATGGATCACACTGCTTAAGAGACATATATGTCTTATGCAAAATACCATGTGCCTCAAACAGCAGACCTGGATGTGTGGTAGCTCATCTATCTGATCTGTTGAGCTCCCTCCCAGAATGCCTCTGGCTTTCCTCACTGGCCAGAGATTACTACCCATCTATCTATCTGCTGTCTAAGTCAGCAGGATTTGCAACAGCAGAAAAAAGCCTACACAACTCCCTAATCCACAATACAGAGTAAGGGATTTGGTACAGTGTTTCCAGAGACTCCAGAGACTTGTTCTAACGGCAAATACTATTTGAAGTATTTATAAATTTGATGGAGAGAGAGAGACAGAGACAGAGACACAGACACAGAGAGACAGAGACAGAGACAGACAGAGAGGCAATTCAGAAGGAAATAAAAGAAAGAGGGAAATACCTGTAGGTAGAAAAGACTATTGCTCAACCATTTAGAATAACACATTAGGTAGTAATGAAGCACAGCACCAAACTTTGGAGCCAATGCTTGAGCATCTCTTTACTTCCCAGCATGTAACTGAGGCAGTTAATGGTGGTCTGATCACAGAAGCCTTCTAAATTTGCCTTTCCAATCTAGACTTTTACATAATTGTTTAACAGTGTATACTAAAGGTTACTTGTCATTATCAGAACTCTATATAAACATTTCAAGGCTAAAATTGTCTGTCAGGATGAAGCAATTTTGACTGCATCCATTCTACCCTTTTCAACCTTGAGTTTGAAGGTACTGATTTTCTTTTTTATTCCAAATGCAGCAGAAAAGTAAACTTTATCAGATTTTTAGAATAGCCACCTCAAGTCACTGGGAATTGGGTGGCAGACACATTTAATAAATTATTAATATTATAGTTGGTTTCATAGTCAGCCAGATATTTAGACTATATTGAGCCATTCCCAAGGATCTGGGATGGGCAAATGTTATTAAAGGTATCATCACATCACTGTTCCAAATAAAGAATTGAGTGATGGTGATTTCATCAAAGCTGATGGTATTCAAGTGGTGCTCCAGATGTTTGGGGTTGCATTTAAGGTGTCTGTTACTATTAGTACTATCTTTGCTTTCTTTTGCCACAGCTGTTCTATTTATATTTGCAGATCATTGTATTTTGTGATTTTCTCCAAATCTTTCCTTATATTATGCTGTGTCTAGATATTACAACTTCACAATCCAGACTTTTTTTGTTGTTTCTTATTGACAATTGTTAAGTCTGGAATGGCACATGGCAGGTACTTGTCTGTATTTTAAAATCTCAGAGTACTTTATCTTCTTCATTTTCTGTTATTTTAGTTTGTGGTCCCACCATTTTTTTCTGGCAGGCAAATGGTACTTCTTGCAGGCATTCTAATACACTATTATTGCTACTTAGTCATGCCAATGTTTGTAGTTATTCCCTCTTTCCTCAACTTTCCTGCTCTTAACCATTTCCAGGTCTTGTGTTATCTGCTTTGCCTGCTAATTTTTTTATGTCCGGATATATAATGCTTTGCCTTGCCATGTCTCTTTTCTATTTTTATTTGGTCTTTCTTGCCAGCCAGTTTGATATCTTCAGTATTCAGTAAGAATAACTGATGTACTAGCTTCAGGGCATCTTCTTCATTATCCTTCAAATAGTTTTCCAATGCCCTTTTATCTCTTCTGATGTACTTGCAACTTTCCACACCCACCTATACTACCCAGTAAGAAGAGCCTGTCAATGTCACCACATGGATGAAAGGTATGATCATTGTTATTATTTTTCTATCTTTTGGAAATCACAAATCTCAGGCCAATTGAAGAAGAGAAATGATGCTCATTTATTCAGAAAAGACAGATCTAGGGAACTAGTAATAATACTAAGATTCTTAATAATGAGATTTCTATATAAATATCTTGAAACAATCTAGTTTGGATGTGTGAGAAACAATCCTGCCAGACTAAGTTTATCTATTTTTTTAAAAAAAATCTGGCACTTTCATTGTAGGAATGCTATAAATGTACTGTTATCTTTACTTCAGAAAAGCATCACAAAGTACTTCATGTCATTCTGATTAGCAAGGCCATTATGTTTGGCTTGATGGCAATTGGGTAGATGCAGAATAAGTTCAAATAGAAAGTACTCATCAATGGTTCCTCATCAAACTAGAATGAAGTATCAAGTGAAGTGCCACAAGGATCAATACAGGTTCCTGTTCTCTTCAACATCACTTTGATTAAGAACTGAAGGGAATGCTTATCGCTTTTGTAGACAACACATATTTGGATGGGATAGCTAATATGTTAGAAGATGGGAACCTACTTCAAAACAGACTTTCTAAATTAGCAGAACATGCTGACAATAACAGAATGAAAATCATCAGAAATGTGTTCTTCCCTTGGGAAAAAGAAATCAAACACAGTATAGAACAGAGGATATCTGGTTTACTAATAGTATTTGTGAAAAAAAGTGCCAGAAAATGTTGATGGCTACAAACCATGTATTAGGCACTGAAATGATATAGTTCCAAAGGAGATTAAATGCAGGTTTAAGATTTAGCCACAGAAGTATACTTGGTTTTCTTTCCGTGGTTTCCTGCATTCCTCTATTGGTCATACTCTGTTTTTTTACATTGTATCCAATCTAGCTCACTAAATATTAAGAAGCAGTCAGATAAATTGGAACAATGATCACAAAACTACAAACTGAGTCCCACGAAGAGAAGACTGAGGACATCTGATTGAGGCAAGGACAGAAATTTTCTGAACAGACAGACAGACCTGGAAATTGGATAACACCCAAGACTTCCGAGGCCTAATTTATATCATCCCAGGATAAAACAAGAATATGTGGCAGAGGAAAAGAATTTCAAGTTGAAAATGAGGAAATTATCAAATAAAACTATTTTTTAAATGGTGAGAGCATCTTCCCTTGACTGAATGTCTATGGAAGTTCTCAATCATTCAGGTTATGGTTGTCCCAAAAAAGCTTTTTCAAGAGGCAACTAGACTTTCTTACTTTTTTTAAGAAGACATTTTGCTTTTCACCCAAGAACTTTCTTCCGCTCTGACCATCTCCCCATCATCCAGTCTGAACACCCTAACTTTTGGGGCTTCCCTTGACTGCAGGTTCAAGCAGAGGCCATCTGTTACAGGAACTTTAAGTTGGATTACTTTGTGGAGCAGGGGGTTGGGCTAGGTGGGGTACATGGTCCTTCTTTGAGAAAGAATCACAGAAATGTTGAAAGGACAATTGGATTGATTAAATGTCAAAGTGCCATTAGTGAATTTGGATCCCCATTTTGACTGATGTTTTTATTAATATACAACCAATCCATCTGTGGTTAGTCCCTAATGAAAGCTTTATTATAGGTTGGAAGATTAAATACTAAGATCTTTCCCAATAATTTATTAGTACAAATACAATTGTTTGTTTGTTTGTTTTGGATTTTTTGTGGGGAGGGGATTGGGGCTTTCTGAAACTGAAAAAAGTGACATTCGGGGAGGATTATTGTTATGTACATCTTCCCCTTCCATGTAAAAATCTGTGGCAGAGAGAAAAAGTCCAAAGATGAAGATTATAGGAATTCACAGCATTTCTTCATAAACATTTGGCAGATCTTGTGATAAGAAGTTATTTGCAGGACTTGTGCAATGGGAAACTCAGTACAAGTATAACTCAAAGCAAGGAAGGGGAAGCATAAGGAAAGTTTATTGCATTTGTTGAAAAGATACATCCATCAGGGCTAAAAGGCTTTTGCATGAATCAAAGCTGAATCCATCTCCAGTTCCCAGGCCAGCCATTAGATCTATAAGCAGAGAAATAAAAAAGCAACATACATCAAGAATGAGAGGTTAGAAGCCATACCACACTGAAATGGCTTACCTTGAAACCAGGAAAATTGGAGTCCAGCGTGATTGTTGCTCACAGCATTCTGTGAAATAACATGAGCATCTGGGAAAGAGCTGGATCATGTCTTGTGTATCACAGAGGGATTGACAAAGAGTATGCTTTTAATACATATAAAACAGCTTTCCTGACAACAGGAATAGATTGGGGTGTGGAGAGAATGGGCACAACGGTCATATTCTATCTTTGATGTGATACAAAAGGTGGATGAGATCATAATAGAAAAGAATGGTGCAAACTCTAAAATAGCAAGATATAAAGGTCCAGGCATGGATTCACAGGTGTTTCACAGCCTTTCCATATAGCACAACCTCCCTCTACTTTGGCCAACCTTAACCAAAGCTAAAACTGAAGACAAACATTTGAAAGATTTCTCTCTTATCCTCTCAATTATTTTGTAACCAGATGAGACAATGAAAATGCAATTTAAAATAGAACAATTGCAGAACATTTTTTTTAAAATGAACTTAATGTAAAGTCATCCATAAGTCAGAATATTATTATTTGGGACATTTTTCATTTCACTTTTCTACCCCTACATCTAAATATTATACATAAAGAGGCAATACTTTTAAGTTGGTTTGCCACCAAAGTTCAATAGCGTGAATTGTCCATCCCAAGGATAAAACACCCAGATAGAATGTGAGCAATGTGGTACATGCAGTACAATGCAGTGAGCCATGTGCAGATCTGTACATTGGGGGAATGAAAAAAACCACTTCATAAACGTATGACACAACATAGGAGAACAAACACATCAAGACTAGATTCAGCAGTTCATGGGCATTTAAAAGACACAGACCACTCTTTTGAAGAAACAAAGTCCATATTTTGGACAGAGAGGATCACTGGTTTGAAAGAGGGGTTAAAGAGTTAAACATCATCTATCTCCAATCTGCAACACAGTCCTTTCAACAATTCCAAGAAAGCTCTACACCCTTTTCCACCACTCAGGTGACCCTAATGACACAAATAAACCTCCAGATGACCTTAACAATCTGCTAAAAGAATGCAAATGACCAGCTGTCTGCAAGGAGTATAAATCCTTCCACTCACCACCATCCAGTCAGAGCTAAAGAAGCTTCTTGGATGGGAAGCAAAACATCTTCAAAGAAAAACCGGAAAGTCCAGTTGCTCTTGAGAAGAAACAACAACCCACCTTTGAGACAACCATGAACTGGATGACTGAGAATCTTCATAGACAGACAGAAAAAGAAAGATTTTTGTATGAAAGCTGTCTGCCTAGTATAAATCTGTCTGTCTATCATCTATCAAACTCTATCCATTTCTATGACAGTCTGAAATATTAATTTTTATAGTAATGTTGTGGGCATGTTTGTTTAATATTGAATACATTTCTAGCCCGTTTTTCAGGGTTGAAAAGATTATGACTCAATAATGTAACATTCACAATCAAATCTAAAGTCAATATTCATTGTGTAAATCTTAATTAGGGAGATAGAAGAAATTGGAAAGTAGCATCTGGTAACCCCTTAAGTTAAAATGCAGAATACTAAATTCTTCCTATTGTTATTTTTGTTATTCTATTCTTTCTACAGGGTCTTTAAGCTATGCACAGAAAAAAGAATAATACACATTTCAATAAAATAATCTGACATCAACCAAGCAAGACAATAAAAAGGATTAAAAGTAAATAGAAATGTCTAAGTGTTATAGCAATGTTATTTTGCGAGGGATTCTGGACCTGGAAAAATTGTTAACCAGCAAAATCCTGGGTGAGCCAGTGAATTGGGATTGCTAGACAATTTTGGGACCAGCTAAAATTAGATCAGAGCCAATAAATCTTTCAGATCTTCCAGAAGTCCAGGGACTACCAAAGATCTATGTAATTGCAGAAGTATCTTCATTTCCAATTAGGGTTGTTTCAAGAGGCATTTTCTTGTGGTGAAGGTTCAAGTGGAGGACTTCTTGAAAGTGCTTATGTGAGATGTCACAATGCCCCAGTTCTTACTTGCAGAACAGTTCCTGAAGTGCTTTCTGAACATTAACAGAAGCCACTTTCAGCAAAGTCAAATGACAGATCAGCTCTGCTTTGATGCCTTATTGGCTGATGTACCTGGATGACGCAAATTACCTCATTCAGGTGAACCAGTTGCAATCAATATATACAATATATAAAATCAAAAGAAGGGATATTATTGTTAGACTTCCAAAGGAGATTTATTTATTTTTCTTTTCACCTGTATCATATACTGGAAGTAAGGGACTCTGGAAAGGATTGACCGGAGGAATGTGGGAAGCTGGAAAATTTTAATGCTAATCAATAAAGCTTTATTATGACCAAACTTGGAATATTGTATTGAGTTTTGGTGACCATATTATAAAAAAGATGTAGAGACTCTGAAAAGAGTGAAGAAAAGAGCAACAAAGATGATTAGGGGCTGGAGACTAAAGCATATGAAGAAAGGTTGCAGCAATTGAGTTTGTCTAGTCTAGTGAAAAGAAGAATTAAGGGTGACATGATAACAGTGTTCCAATATTTGAGGGGCTACCAGAAGAAGAGGGTGGTCAACCTATTTTCCAAAGCACCAGAAGGCAAGACAAGAAACAATGGATGGAAACTAACTAAGAAGAAAAGGAACCTAGACCTAAGGAGAAATTTCCCAACAGTAAGAACAATTAACCAATGGAACAACTTGCCTCCAGAAGTTGTGAATGCTTCAACACTAGAAGTTTTTAGGAAGAGATTGGACAACCGTTTGTCTGAAATGGTATAGGGTCTCTTGCTTGAGCCGGTGTGTGTGTGGGGGGGGTGGTGGACTAGAAGACCTCCAAGGTGCCTTCCAACTCTGTTATTCTGACTTTTGAGTTCTAATGATCAGAAATTCCTTTTGCTGAGCAAATTGGAGCCTCAGTCCTACTGAGACAGGAGCTCAGTTTAACAAGAGCTCAGTTATTCTCACTTAGCTGATGGCTTGCAGTCTTAGACCCCACAGTAGTAAGTAAACAGAGTTAATGTGGCCCAATGTACCAATTATGCCTCTTACTGTAGAAACAGCATCTGAATAGAACCAACGCAAAAGAAAAATAAGGGGACAGAATCAAATGTAGATTACAGTTAAAACTGGACATAAACCAGGGGTAAAATTCAGCAGGTTCTAACAGATTCTGGAGAACCAATAGCGGAAATTTTGAGTAGTTCAGAGAACTGGCAATTACCACCTCTGGCTGGCCCCAGAGTGGGGTGGGAATGGAGCTTTTGCAATATCCTTCCCCCAGGGGTAGGGAGGGAATGGGGATTTTGCAGTATCCTTCCCTGCCACACCCACCAAGTCAAACCCACACAACCAGTATTAAAAGAATTTGAATTTCACCACTGACATAAACAATGAACTTTACCTTTGAGGAGAACACCATTCAGAATCCTTTGTAACTGTGAGGCATCTAAGAAGGAGTTCTAATGTAGAACAAACATACACAAACAAACAGACAAAAAATGCTTATGAGCGCTGTGGTTCCTTGGAAACTTGTCTTGTTACTATATACACTTAATTGAAGGACTCATGGTCTAGGGCAGTGTTTCCCAAACTTGGGAACTTGAAGATGTCCGGACTTCAACTCCCAGAATTCAACTCCCAGCGAATGCTGGCTGGGGAATTCTGGGAGTTGAGGTCCGGACATCTTCAAGTTCCCAAGGTTGGGAAACACTGGTCTAAGGTCACTTTCCATTCCTGGCAGAACATCCCAGGTTCAATCTCAAATAGCAGCTGAAGCATAGGCATCCTTTTGTCTTATTTCTCACAGTAGTTCTGAATTTTACATCTACGGAAATAATTTTTATTTATTTGGGGTAATTTGCAGCCTTCCCCACTAGCTCATTTTCTTTTACCCCTCTTTTTATCCCACCCCCCTTTTTTCCTAGGCTTCATTTGTCATTTGGTGGTTTATTTCTGCAGTGTTCCAGATAGCACATTTTAAAAATGCAAGAAAGAATTGCACCTGACAGATGTCAGAGGAAGCTACAAAATCTAGATTTCATCATTTATTTATGAGCTAATTTGAAGATATTGTTTCTTCTCTAAATTCCCTTGATTCATTTATTATTGGGAAATACAAACGCACATTCAGAGAGAGAGAGAGAGATGCTTTCTTTATCGTGTTCTATAGGCAAATAATCAGCTAATTTTAGTAACAAATGTTTCAGAAGTGGATTTCTCATAATATTCAGTTGCCTTAGCAAATGACCAAACATAGGAAAAGCAGAAACTTATATGCTGACTGCTTAAATGAGCTTCCAATTTCCACATAAAGAAGATAATAAAAAAACAAATAAAACTGAAACACAAAGAGAAAAACAGATGAGTGTTTCATTCCAGAGTGATTTAGATGGTGACCCCCATCTCCTACATTAAGCTAAAGTCAAGGTAAAAGTAACTGTGACTTGGGGGATTCAAAGAATCACAGAAGTTTACAAATAAAAATTGCAAACAAAAACAAAGAATTATGCTCAATTTACAAGCTCAGTAGGAATGGAAAGCAAAATAGAAAACAGAGGCAGAGTGTATAGAACCTTGACAGAAAGAGAGAGACAGACAGACACACAAACACACACACACACACACACACACACACACATCATATAAATATGGATTTGGGTTCCGATAATATAAAAGCTCAGTGGCTATATATAGAGTCACTCAGGGTAGGTCGCTGTGGGTTCACCCGGGTTTGGGAGAACCCATAGCTAACATTATGGCTAGTTCAGAGAACCTCCAAATCCCATCCCTGCCTGGGTCCTCCCCTCCCCACCCCTCCTTGGGGTCTCCACTTGGCCTGTTTTGGATGTGAGGTAAGTCCAGGGCCAGCGTGGAGGTTTGGTGAGGGGGGAGAATGGGCCTCCTGGAAGGCCCCTGAAGCCCAGATGAGGCAGTTTTCGCCCTCCTGGAGGCTTGAGGAAAGCCTCCAGAGCCTGGGGAAGGTGAAAATGGCCCCCACGATGTGGGGCAGGAGGCCGACTAGGCCCCACCATGACCACACCTACCCAGCAACTGGGCGGAGAACCCATTGCTGAAATTTTTGAAGTCCAACCCTGGAGCCACTGGGTTTTTATATTATCCATTATATTAGCCATTTGTAATCTTCCATTTTTTTTCAAGTTAGGTCTCAACTATAGCTTCTGAGCGATCATTAGAAAAAAAGGGGGATGATTTGTTTTGGCATGTTCGAAGAGATTTAATAGCAGCCTAGACGATGCATAGAAGCTGGAGGTATCTGTCTTCCAGCAAGGACTTGCTTGGCTCAGGAGACTGCTATCATTTTCTTTCCTTGCCCTGACTGCTCCTAAAGACAAACTGTGTGCACCTTTCACAGTCAGCACTGCTGTTTTCACCTTTTATGTGCTGATACAACTATTAGCTGTGAGAGGTCTATTGTACAGAAGCTTTTGGCAGCAATTTTTCTCTCGACTAAGTCAAGGAGTCTTTTATAACAGTTTATTAAGCCATTAAGAGCATCTCCTGTGAACACATGCAGCTTGGCTCAGAAAGAATGCAAATCAATTACCCAAACATTGACTGATGCCTGCTTTCCAAATGTGGAAAGTACAAACTGGAAGTAATTCTGATAGGCTAAAATATGATCCAGGAAGCCACATCTATTTGTAGCCAAGGGTTACGGTTAATTGCTTGTTTGAGGAACATCTTTCTCCCCACAAGCAATCAACTCCAAACCATCTATTGTGTAGCCAGGTCCCTTGTCTGATTTGTCATAACAACTAGCAAATCAATAGCATTTTGAGAGATACCCTTGAGATCTCCATGGCTGAAGCATGGATTAAAAGTGAGATGGGAAAGTTCCCTTTCTCAATTCTACAATCCTTGTTGAATCACACTTTTATTTCCATTCAACAAACCTGAGCAGCATATCTTAAGAAGACGCTTTCATAGTTGTCTGGATCCAAGATGAGCATATCCTGCATAAAAAAGAAAAAGAAAAAAATGTATAAAAATCAGCCACAAGAAATCAGTTCACATGAGACACCTGATTATTATTCATTCATTATGTTTCTAGCCATTTACAACAGGCAACATTGCGCAGCCAACCTCAAAAGCCTGACAGTGACAAAACAGCCCTATTATCTGATCCTTCATGTCTTTCTTATTTATCTAATTAAATTCCATCCTGTGGCATCCCGTGTCTAAACTTCAAATTGCCCCAAGCCATTTGTCAATGCATGATCTAGGGGGGAAAAAAAGACTGCACGATACTAGCAATCAGCTAAAGAACAAAAAAAGGAAGGATGTTATTTTATGAGAGCTTTGTGAAATGCTGAGTTTTCAACGAAGTCTCAAGGATGAGGGCAGGTTGCAGTGATCAGTGGGGAGAAAATGCCAGATTTAGATGGCAAGGAAGAAGTGGAATGAGACAGAAGAGCATCCATAAACCTGGAAAGCTCTTGAGTATAATCCTGTCTTTGAAATATGCAGCTGACAAGCTCTTCAATGCTGGTTAAACACCAAAGAGCTCACCACTATCTGAAAAAAAAAGGAAACTGGCACAATCTCTCTGGTACTGTACAGATTCGAATCAGTTGACGCCTGCAACCTGGTGTTCTCCAGTTCTATTTAGACCATCGGTCACCAACTGGTGGTCCATGGGCCAGTGGTGGTCCGCAAAAATGTTTTGGTGGTCCGCAGAAAAATTATTCGCATTTTTGTATTGCACTAAATCAGGGGTCCTCAAACTATGGCCTCTGAGATGGATACATGCAATGAACATTTGTTTTGCTGCAGAGAGTCTCCCCCTTTGGAGTCTTTTTGTGTGGGTTGGAGTGGGAAGAAATTTTGACGGGTTCTGCTTCAGCCTCCTGGTACAGGGCTTTGGGCGAAGGCTGGAGGGAAATGCTGCTAGTGACAAAGAACTGGAGGGCCTTGTTCTTATGGGACTCAGTGAGGTGCTTCTGCTGAGCCTCATTCTTGGTCAGATCCAATTTGAATTGAATCAGCTGTTTTGCCAACTCTTTCTCATGGTGGCTGCTTAGCTCTAACAACTGCTTCCTGTTGGGGCCCTAAGGAGCCTGAGCAGGCAGGCAAGGAATGGCTGGGAGGGGAGGGGTGAGTAGAGGCTGGTGAGGTGCCCCTTGACATGAGTGACATTGAGCTGGCTATGCCCACCCAGTCACCTGACCACCTGACCACGCCGACCCAGCCTGTCATTAGGCAAATCATAATAGTGGTCAGCGGGATTTAAAATTATGAATTTAGTGATCCCTGAGGTCCAAAAGATTGGTGACCTCTGGTTTAGACTACAACTCCCTTTGTCCTTTGCTGGTTAGTGATGAGAGAGATGCAGACAGCAACCCTGGAGTGTGCTATACAGCGAAAGCTTCCTTAAACAATAGTCTTTTGGCAATTATTGTACTTCAAGCATTTCTGAACTACCAACGTGTAGCACTACTAGCCATCACTGTGGCTGTATCTAACTTCTCTGAACTACTGATTTATTGCCCAAGCAATAATTGAGAGACTCTGCAAATTACTGGTGAATCATTGTTTCAGGGCAAATGCGGAATTCACAAGACTCCCCCTCCCGTAAAAAAATCAGTGCTATGGTAGTTTGAGGTGTCTGTAATAAAAATGATGACACTCTAAGCTAATCAGAGTTACTCAATAGTGAGATGTGTGATATATAAATTTAATTAATAAATAAAAACTAAATTACATGGGCATACTCATAATTAAACCCAGTCACCCATAGCCCTTAGCCATAGATGATGATGATGATGATGATGATGATGATGATGATGATGATGATGATTATTATTATTGATGAGGGCCACTCACAACGGGGGTGGGGGATGACTCCCCCCAAGCATCAATGAGATTTTCAGAAGAACCTACCTTAGGGAAGAGTTTAAGCAAGTTTAAAAGCTATAAAACCATGGTTTGAATGTTGGCTGGGGAATTCTGGGAGTTGAAGTCCTCCAGGCTTAAAGTTGCCAAGGTTGGAGACCCCCTGCCTTAGGCTTAGAGCATCCTTGGCTGGGGAATTCTGGGAGTTGAAGTCCTCCAGGCTTAAAGTTGCCAAGGTTGGAGACCACTGCGTCTAGTTGGTCTTAAACAAGTTATTTAACCTCTCTATCTCAGGAGGCTGCAATACTTCCACTGCTAATAAAAAAATGGTTGAACTTTACTTGGTATAAATTTGGAGCAGCCTTTTGACTTTAGTGTTAAATAGCATGGTGTCACAAGGACAATTAGGCAATCTATTTTTCAGGGCAGCCTAAGATTTAAAAGAATAAAATAGTGAAGTGCTACAGCTCCTTTTCCATTGATCCTGAGTGTTACAGTGGTGGCATTAAATGCAAAACAAATTGCCTGACCTGTTCCTCTCAAGAGAATAGAAAGACGAGATTTCAAACAGAAGAAAGGATAGCAATGCTAGTCCCGTTTTTCAATACTGCCAAAGAGGCAAACTTTCAACATTATATTTCATTTTACTGATAATGGAGAAATATACTGCATCATCTTTGCTTAATTCCCTCTGATAAATACTGATACTGATACCTATATTAATACTAATAATGCTAATAATGCTAACAACACTAATAATAATACTAATAATACTAATACTACTAATAATAATTTTTTAAGACATGATATCATTACAATGTCTAATATACAAGCTCAGCATAATCAAGATCCACCTAGGAATAAGGCTTTAGCATCCCAGGAAAGATTAAGGTGGCACTGAGATAACATCAAAATAGGCACTAGATGAGCCTCTATGATCAAACATTGCTGTAATTGGGATGCCACCACTTAAAAGACCCTTTCACTCATGACAACCAACTTTACTCCTGATAACAATGGCACTTAGATTGAAAACAGAGGCATCCATGCAGGCCTAGGGAAGGCAGAAATTCTTTATGTGCCATACTCCCAAAGGCCTTTTTAAGGTTCAGCATGAACATTGGCCGCTTCAATAGTTAATAAATAAAATCATGACTTTAGCACTGCCCCAATATAAAATCTAATGCTAGCCTTGTCTCTACATTTCTAAATACAGGGTGACTGCTATGGTTTGCAAGACAATTCAGGCCCAGAGCTGCTTTTCAATTCTGTCTGAATCATAGAACATCAATAATAGATGTCTTTCATTTAAAGTAAAAAAATTATTCACTTCTAGGAAATGGCCCAAAAGGAAGATGGTTATCTCCAGACCTTAGAGATCAATTAGTGTACAAAGGCTGTACAACTATTTCTACTGGAATGCGGCAACATTTTGGTGTCCAATGATTTCTTAGGTTTTTTTTTACTCTGCAATTTTGGGGGGAGTTTAAGATTTCTTATTTCTTTATCACCTAACTTAAATTCATCTAAGAGCTTAAATTGTTCCTCGGGTATGGATTTTATGTACTTGCTGCCTCAAAAAAGCACTCCAATACTGAGAATCGGAGATCGCACACATTGTACACCCTCAGGTTATCCATTCCTTCTTTATATCCACATACCTTTGTTGTCTCTGAACTGAATTCATTGTTTGACTCCCTAAAAGGAAGGGGGGGGGAAAATCACACACACAAAAATGAGAACTGTGTCAGGGCAGACTGTTTTTATTTATTGCTTACAAGATCCAGAGAGGACAGTGTGTTATCATATTCAACCTTGATATGTGTTTATCAAGCAATAGTGTGCAAATCATTATCTGTGCCCAAGTACTAAATTATGGTTATTTCCACAATTCTTTTTGACAAGAATATTCTTTTGTTCTCAGGGGAACCAAGGTCCACATAAGCAGTATGACTTTCCCAAAAGAAAACAGAGAATGAAAATTATGTTTTATTGTCTGATAAATCAAGACAATGGAATTTTATTTATTACGCTCTAGTAACAGCCCTCTGCACAGTTAAATGAACATGAAGGGATCCAGGATAATACAGCTTTGCCTTGGGTCAAATTATCTTGTCCAATATTTGATACTCAATACCGCTTATATTAGACTGAAATATGATGTAAGATGGAGATTTATATTTAGTTTTTCTAATGGAGCTTCTCAGATGATTTAATTTCATCAACAATAAAAAATCTTCTTCAGTTAAACGTTGCATACTACTATATTGCATACAAACTTTCAAGCATATTCAATTTCTCCATGTTACTCCATTTTGATCATCAGATATTATCAAATGTAAAACACTGCTTCGTGACAAGAATTAAGTATTGTCAAAAATCAACCATCAAACCTAAGAACAAAATATCATTGTCAAGTACTAAATAGTTCAACTAATCCCATCAAATGTTCAGCAACTATTTAGACAGGTTTAATTTGTCACAAAAGAGCCCTTAAGAGCACCAAGCTTCTTTAAATGACAAAGGAAAAGGTGGATTTTCTTTGCCTCACACTATTCATGTTCGAATTGTGATTGCTTTACCTTATATTGCCTTGACTTCTTAGAAAGATTCGTAGAAGAAACTTTAATTCTTTGCTTTGTGGTGATGTCATTGGAATGATTACGTAATCTCCGGGTTTCAGTTGATAGGAAACGGTGATATCTCGTGTTACCTTAAGCTGCGTGTCATGAACTATGGTTCTACCCTTAAACAAAATATTATGGAAAGAAGTTATTAGTTACTTTGAAGTGAATATTAACTTGCAGCATTTTTTTGCCACACATACACACACTTTCACACAGACACACACACTTGCATACATATTTATCAACTGATGGTAATGCTAGATTAGTTGAAGGGTCAAGGTTTCATGGCTATCCATAGCTAAAGCACAAGCACGTGCATCAGAGGTGATATTCTGGAGAACCTGTATGGAAACTCTGAGTAGAAAACTGAGAATAGAAAACAGGTTGGCGCCGCCCCCGCTGCCTCCCATCCTCTCAGCTGATCTTCTTTTGTTTTGAATGGAGATTTTGCAGTAACCTTCCCCTGCCATGCCCACAAAGCCATGCCTACAAAGCCACACCATGCCCACAAAGCTACGCCCACAGAACCGATAGTAAAACTGATAGACGCCCACAGAACCGATAGTAAAAAAATTTGAATCCTACCCTGTTTCCCTGAAAATAAGACCTCCCCGGATAATAAGCCCAATTGGGCTTTTGAGTCCATGCACTAAAATAAGCCCTCCCCCCCAAATAATCCATCCCCTAAAATATTTAAATGCCATTTCCTGAGGGGAAGGGGGGAATATGCCCCATGTGCCCCACATGCACCTGTCATCCATGTGGAACGGCCTTGTGGAGGCCATTACCGCAAACCCTAGTTACCCTGCCTCTTTTCTTAGTGGCAGCCACAAAAAGAGTGGCAGGCCCAACACCCCTAGGGTGGGCCATAGGCTGTTAAGGGGCCTCCTGCACCTCAAAAATAATAAGACCTCCCCCAAAATAAGGCCAAGTGCTTATTTCGGGGGCCAAAAGAAAATAAGACCCTGTCTTATTTTCAGGGAAATACGGTACCACTGACGTGCATGCACTATTTTTAAAATTGAGATTCATTTGTTATAAATGGGCTAACCTCCAGATATTTATGCCTGAGACTGTACTATCTGTAATTTATGGAAGATATAGCAGAATCAATGAGTGGGAAATATTTAGGGAGAGGAGATTTTATCTGTATCTTTAGGCTTGTCATGAGCATTCTGAATTTTGTATCGAATCCATTCCTATAAGAAAATAATAGATCCTGCCATATTTCTTGTGGCTCCAATATTTTCAACAAGGTGGCACAATAAATAAAATGCAACCATTATTATTGGGATGACATATAAAGACAACATAATAAAAAAAAACCGACTAAACACATTCTTACAAAAACACTGGAGTGTACAAATCCCATTTAGAACGGTTACTCAGAATGACACAATAATTTATGAGCCATGCCTTTGTGTTGAACTTAGAACGTGATGAATTAAAACTTCAATAAACCTAAATAGGGACAACTCTTTTCAAGGAAATGGAATTTTTCTTATGTATAATCATTTCTTTTGTTCAAGATACTGAGAAGCTTTTATGAATTTGGATGTTTTTTAACCTAGCAACTTATCCGTAAAACTGTCTTGATGCAAGCAAGCTATTCTAACAATGGAAAAAGAAACTCCAGATTTTCTGTATATAAATATTGGATGAATGGTTTTTCTTTCATTTCTGTTTTCCTCCTCCCTCTGCTGCCTTTATACCATATACACTTTATACTGTTTTTAATTGATTTGTTGTGTGTGAAGTGTTTTGTAAACAGCTGTAACATGATTAAGTATATAAAGCAGCATAAAAAATATCATCATGGTTTAATTCATCACAGCACAGCCATCAATCAGCGGTATCTGAGATATCCCTTGAATAGTTACTGAACTGATGAAAAAGTTGAACCTAATTACTGATAATTCAGAGAGCCGTTTTGGTGTAATAATTAAGTCCTAGGAAGGAGGCAATGGCAAACCACCTTGCCAAGAAAGCTGCAGAGACCTGTCCAAGCAGCTGTCAACATTGAGTCAAAGGCATGTATGTGTACACACAAGAGAAATAGGGGGGGAGGGAGGGAGGGAGAGAGAGAGAGAGATCAGAGAAAAGTAAAGAGGACTTACCTGTAGCTCATTGTAAGATAGAAGAAAAGAAGCAAAGCATATTAAGCATACAATTTGAGAATAAATATTTATAATATTATAATTACCACAACAACCTACCAGTTCGCAAATGTGAGCATGCGTGCACGATTGCTTCAATCATACGTGCCATCTCCATGCATGCACAGACTTTCTGCGCATGCACAGAATGTCAAAAACAGGACATGATGATGTCCGGGTGGGTGGGTGAAACCTCCTACTACCACCGCTACGGTTCGCCAAAACCAGCTAGAACTGGCTAAATTGCACCATTGGGAAGATACACACACAATGAATGTCAACAATCCAATTTGTGTTCTTATATGATATTCCTTGCCTGTGGAAATTACTGGTGTGGTCAAAGCAGAAGCATGCTATTAACACTTCTGAGCCAATATTGATTTTAATTGTATACATTATGATTTCTATAATGTTGCAAAAAAAAAAAGAGAGACATTTCTTAGCTGAAAATAATGGTGACAATATTGTACAGACTAAGAAGAAGAAAGAATGGAGTTCATAGATAAAGGGTGTTAATGCTGTTTTCATTACTTATTATCCCATCTGCATTGACATTGCCTGTCACTATATGGCAATCTAGTCAGACTCTATGCATGTAGTAGGAATATGGTTGAGGTAAGAAGGCTGTTGGTAGTAATGAACCATAGGGGCCACTGCATGAAACATATAGTCCAAGCAGAAAAACATGCAAAGTGCAGTTGATACAGGAAGTGGGCAATATCGGGTGTGAGTCTTTGCTGTTAAAGTTGGACCTCAAGGGTCAAGTGGGTCTGCTGTTAACGTACCTGCCTCCCA